GCTTCTGGGTGGGTTCAGATCTTTTAGCTAGTACTTGAGTACTTAACTGTCTGTGCCACCTAGCTATCCCCTTCACATATGTGTGTGTGTGTGTGTGTGTGTATTCACATGACCCCCATTGACCCTGTTGGGTTTGCAAGGTAGTAAATCTTTACAGAAGTAGATTGTCTCATCTTCCTTCTGCAAAGTGGCTGGTATATACATACATAGATACATATATACATAATATATACATATGTATGTGTGTGTGTATGCATATATATGTAAAACGAGTTGCCATTGAATCAATTCCAGCTCATAGTGACTCTGTGTGTCAGAGTAGAACTGTGCTCAATAAGGTTTTTAGTGGCTGATTTTGGAAGTAGATCTCTAGACCTTTCTTCCAAGGCACTTCTGGGTAGATGAGAACCTCTAGCCTTTCAGGGAGTAGCAAAGTGTGTTCATGGTTTGTTGTGTGTGTGTATATATATATATATACTGCATAATGTCTGGGCAACATGCAACCCCATAAAGCCTATTATATTAAAAATTCAAGGTACATACAAAATGGTTTGAAATAACAAATGAGAGTTACTTTGCAACTTGCATAAAACATTATTATTGTTATTATTACTATATTATCATGTTAAAGATGTTTTAGTATATCTGGAATAGTTCTTTAAATTTTTTATGCATGGAAAGGTACAGTATATACTATATCCTAAGACAGACATTTGACTAACTGCCATTAGATACAAACCATACCTAATTGTTCCAACTTAGGTACAAATTTGACTTAAAGACAGATTTAGGAATGCAAATCATTTGTAATCCTGGGGACTGCCTGTACACTGACCCTCTTTCCCAAGCATGGTATCCTTCTCCAGGGACTGGCCCCTTCTGACAACATGACCAAGTATGTGAGACAAAAATTGACCATTCTTGCTTCTAAGGAGCATTCTGGCTGTACTTCTTCCAAGATAGATTTGTTCATTCTTTTGGCAGCCAAAGGTATTTTCAGTATTCTTCGCCAGCACCACAATTCAAATGCATCAATTCTTCTTTGATCTTCCTTATTCATTGTCCCGCTTTCATATGCATATGAGGCTATTGAAAATAACATAGCTTGGGTCAAGTGCACCCTAGTCTTCAAAGTGACATCTTTGCTCTTTAACACTTTAAAGAGGTCTTTTGCAGTAGATTTGCCCAGTGCAATATGTCATCTGATTTCTTAACTACTGCTTCCATAGGCATTGATTGTGGATCCAAGTAAAATGAAATCCCTGACAACTTCAATCTTTTCTCCATTTATCATGATGTTGCTTATTGGTCCAGTAATCTTTCCCAATTCTTTTTGTCTAATTGTCCTCAGAACAAACTTCTCCTTCCTTTTCTTTCTTTCTTTTTTAGGATTCTAACTGTGGCATTTATTACCTACCAACATTTACTGCAGTGTGATTTCTCACAAGGATAAATGATTTATTATGGCATTCCCTTAGAATATAGAAGAGTTGCAATATTTTTCTACTTTGATACACATACCCTAACCCATGCAAAGTGGTTTGTCCAAATGTTTGTGATTAAAATTTTCCCATATTGTAGAAAGATAACTCATAAAGATGGGGTCTGTCTGTAGATTGTTAGACAAATAATCTATCATCCTCTTGTGATGCCACCACACAATAATCTGTGAGCTCGTTAGGGCTATGTAGTGTATTTTTCTTGTTTTGGAGTTTCGGAAATAAGATACGAGGCCAAGGTCCCACCTTGGGCCAGTTACTGAAGAACCCTTGACTCCTACCTCCTACTTCAGTGTTTATATTCCTTCTCTACTCCTTCCAAACTCTCTAAATAATTTTCCCAAGAGGTAGATATCTGAAGTTAATATCCCAGGAGACTATAACCACACTAGTCCCTTGTCTTGCTGTAAATGAAAGTGAATGGACAGAATTTTACTCATGAGGTTTTCAGCTCTTTAAAAAAGTTGCATATATATCTGAATTGTACAAACAAAGTGTATTCTTGTGGGAGGTAGCCTGAGTTCTAGATTCTCAGTCCAAGAGCTTCTGCTCCTGTTTAAGTCCCATTAAGTTTTGGCTTCATTTCCGTTTCCCTGAATTTATTTCAGGGACTCTTGCTTCTGAGTGGCTTTGATTCTGAAGGAATGTTGCCTATTTTGACAAGTCAAACTAATGGTAGGCACATGTTCCATAGGTTTGAAATATTGTTTTGTATTTGTACTGTAATCTTCAGATAAAAATAATCAGTTGAAAAATCTAGAAGGCTGGAAAGATGGACTTAAGGAGTGGGTATTATTGCTTAAATTGGCTTTTGGAGGTTGTCTTTTTACACTAGAGGTGGTAGCAAGGGCCAGATTACAGTAGTGCCTAGAGCCAACCTGTTCCAACAGGCTTCATCTTCCTTTGTACAAATTTAAAAAGAATGGATCCTCACGCAAGCACTTCAAATCCAGAAACAAATTTGAAAAAAATTGCTGCAACATGTTGACTGATTCCTTGCCAAGTCAGCCACTGAGAACTTTTTCTTAATCGATTCTTACAAGAGAAAATTAGAGGGGAGAAAAGCATGTAACTATTTTATTAAAAAATAAACTTTCCTGTATTCTTAAAGTGCTTCTACTCTTACATTTTTCTCTTCCACTGGTGACCCCCTCACTCTTCTGCTTTATCTTCTTCCTTTTGTCTTTTCCTTTCTTTCCTAATCATTCTCTGTGATATACTCTGTTGCTCTAATGTATTCACTTTTACATTTACTATTGATACAATGATATATCCTGGAGAAATAGCTTTCCAAAGATTATATTTAGATATACAGATTCATACCAGCAGAAAGGTTAAAAACATTAAAAACAAAACAAAAAATCCTGCTTGTCAGCAGTGGACAGAAAGCTATTTGTAGCTAGCAGGTGAGCTGGAGAGAACCACAGGGCGTGGTAGAGATAGTAATAAATTAACTAGCAAGCCAAAAACTATATATATATATATAAATCAACTATTTCATACCATAGAAGTATGAGAGCTATGAAAAAGGAGTGCCCCAGGGAATTCTTTTAGAGTTTGATTTTTTAAAATATGTTTGACATGAAAAATGTTTTAGTACAAATAAAGCAACTGGTATTAAACTTATGGGGGGATTTATGATTAATGCATGCTATTTAAAGAAAGAACAGCTCTAAAATGTTCCAAGAAGTAGTCTGTGTTGGTTGGAATGGTGATTTCCCCCCTTATTTTTGAAGCATCATTAATTCACCACCATTTTGTGATTTGTTTTTAACTTGATAAGATGTAGACCAAAGAAACATTATTTGACTTAGATTAGGATATTCTTTCTTCAGATAATTTATTTCAAATATCAAGAAGATCAGTAGAATTATTTAAGCATAAAGTGACAGTCATTTACTATAAAAAATAATTTGGCCTAGTTATCTTTTTTAAAAAAAAGCTCATATAGCACTGCAAACCAAAATCAGCTTCACGGAAGGGGAAAAACAAGATCAGATATTTTGAACATTACTCCATAGGAGACCAGCACAATATAGTGTTAGTGAACGCATTGTAGCAGCGCTCCATATGCAATCAGAAGCCAATTGTTACTGGACTGTGTACAAGCACACACTGTGCTCAATGGTCTGATGAGGTATTATGGATATGATGCAAAGAGACTGTGTAGATTAGAAGCTAACAATTTGTTAAAAGTGAAAGCAACTTAACATTTACATTAGGCCAGCTGAGTGAGTAGCTCTTCATGTGGCAAGCAGGATGAGTTCCAGGGAAGCAGGGGCACCAAGAAGCCTCCAGGTCTTAGTGTCCATGCAGAAAAAAATAAAAAACAAGAGAGATGGTATTGCTTTCCAGTGGACTACTTTTAATACTCTGACTCTTTTTACACTGTCTCTTCATTATTACATTCAGCCTTTTAGTGTGGAACAGTTCATGCAAAACAGTATGATTATTATAAATGTCAAAAATGTGTGGAGGAACAGCCTATTAAAATATAGCCTAGAGATAGTACATCACACTGACTTTAAATAAGTAGCTGAAGCCAAAGTGATATTCCATTAAATCACTGATGTTGTGTAATTTATCCTTAAGTATTAATTTTTATTTTAGTTACCACTATCACGATATATTCCTCATCACTTTCTCTTGGTTCCTCAGGCCACTGCTGACAGCCTATGTCCTTAGGTCACAGAAGGTACTTCACTCGTGCTACTTGGGAGTAGTCTGGAGTCAGAAATACATTAAGATATAGCGTTGATCACTGCTGAACCATGCTCAATCTCTGCCAGGCTTTTAATGTGGTTATCTCATGTAAAATGTGTAGTTATTTAATCAAATAATCACCAAAGAATATTTGATCAGTGCTTCGTATGCATGATCCTGTATTAAGTTCCACCAGAAATTAATCCAAAAAAATATGGTTTCCACTCTCAATGGGGTATAAACATTTCAGAATGCTGACAGATAGGATCAGCTGCCCTCTCCCCACTATCACATATAAAAGGTTACATTTAAAATTTTTCCTTTTTTTTTTTTTAAATAAAATAAAGCTTAGTTATGAGCAGCCAGTAGCTCTCAGTCTTTTTTTGAACTCTAATACTCTGCCTTGCCTATCAAGCCAAAATATGTTTGTTGTTCTAATATAAAAGCCTCAGTGCTTTTTCAGTGTACTGAGTGTCAGCCTGGCTTTAAGATATTTTTTTTTACTCTTGAAAAAATGATGTATTACAAGATTTGTAATGGAGTGAACATGCTTCAATTGCACATTTAATTTTTTTAACATCACATTCATGTTTTGCCAGTTTGCCTACCAGCTATCTGTTAACAAAAAGTTCCAAGGCAGCACTGCAAGTCTGTGCCCAACTAAGCCTTTTGTTTCTGCAGATGTTTGGGCTTGGAGCAATGTTGTAAAGCTCAGGCAATCCAAGGACCATGTTTGTACTTGTCTGCTGCGATTCCCTGTGCATTGTCTAAACCTGAATGCATTGTTCTCTCTGACAGGTGATAACTACCCCGTACAGTTCATTCCATCAACAATGGCAGCTGCTGCTGCTTCTGGACTCAGCCCTTTACAGCTCCAGGTAAGTGCCAGAAGAAAAAATGTGGGATACAAGCCAGTGCTTTAGTGGGAAACTGCTAACCAGCTGTATGCTAAATAATGGCCTGAATGTTAAATAATTTTTTAAGTATAGCTCAGAAGGATTAACACCTTAAGCACTTATCATACTGCAGATAAAGAGAAAACTGCCAGTTTCAATATTATTAAAGGAAAAATTACATTATGACTTAATACCATGAATTCTGTATCAGGTAAGTTAATAATTTTACAGTTTTTTTAATGGCTTATCATTATTGGCTATGGTATGTTTTTCCATATCAATTTTGCATCCATGTCTGCATTTATGTGCCCAGATTAGCTTTCACACGTAAGCACCAATACTGAGAAGGATATTATATATATTCTTTCTTGCAGTTCATAGAATAAGGGATCATTATTCCCAAGGTACCTGAGAACTGTTTGGTAAAATCCAAACATGTTTTCCTCAATATGTGTATTTCCATCCTTTCCAGGGTCAAACCAAGTTCTAGATTAGTGTCCTTTACTTACAGAGCTAAACATGGGGAGAAAGTGTTTTGGAAGTTGAATGAAAAATCAACTTCACCTTGTTTTCTTCACATGTAAAATGAGAGGTTTAGAATAAGACTAGTGATCTTTATACCCTCTTAGCATGACACTTTAATAGGAAATTGACTTTTAAAAATGAATGCATACTTGAACTCATAGACGCAAAAGATAAGATCATTGAAATAGTGGTCAAGGCTCCAGTGTTTAAACATTTAGAAAATATGTGTAAATGAACAACTTGAATTTCAACACAGGGGAAAGTTTATTAAAGCCAGTATTCTGTTTTTAAAAACCATTGACAATTATAATTGACTTTTCTTAAACAATGTAGAGAATAGCATCTAGCTAGGCATTTTTATTTCTATATTGCTTTTCCTTATATGAGTTGAACATAAAAAATGTACAAATATTTTACTAAGAAAAAAATCATTTTCAACTTTTTCAAATGGACCTATAAATAACTCAAAGCTAAAAAGCCTAAGTGATCATCCTTGCAACATTTTGAGTTTTTGTCATAAGCCTCATTTGGAAAACCATGAAGATGTTATCCATAAAACTCTAGCAGAGCTAGAAATTTTGCTTAACAGGAGCAGTAGCCATACCTTTCTTCCAAGCTTTCACCTTTCCCACTACTAACCCTGGAACTTACTGCAGCTGGTAAAAATCTACAAAGAAATCTTACTCATAGTAAATCTTAATGTATTTCTCCTTTTCCTATAATTGTGCTGTAGAGTGTCTTCTCAAAGCAGAGATAGAAATAAGAAACCCGTATTATTTTTTGGTCCTACAACCAAGGGAGTCTGGTTTCCATAAGAGAGTCTGGGTTCTAAACCTTCTACTTTTCATTCTTTAGTGTGGGCAATACCCTAGGTTTAGAAATATGTGTTCTGTTTCATGAGTTCTGACAGTATGTTTTGTCTTTTTTTTGTTTGTTTGTTCTGACAATGCTACTAAACAGAAGGGTCATGTCTCTCACCCACAAATTAATCCAAGGCTAAAGGGCCTAAGTGACCGTTTTGGCAGGAATTTGGACACCTTTGAACATGGTGGTGGCCACTCTTACAACCACAAACAGATTGAGGTATGAATGCTTCCACTGCTGCTTCATTGGGTGGGGGACTGGATTGCTAGTCAGGCTTTCTTTTAAAGTGGCAAACATTCAACCTAAACACTGACACCTTTTCTCCCCTTCCTAAGGAGCCTATTCTTTTGCTCCTTTTCTTCCACAGGAAAAGGCAAATCCAAGACCAGTGCCCCTGAATTAATGGTTTGGTTTGTAGGCACATTCTGTTGCTTTGTATTATGAGTGTCTTCGCTGATAATCTTTCTTTCCCTCTTTCACCCTTTCTTATGTATAGTGCTATATATTGTTTTCTTAAAAAGTTACTTAATAATTTTTATCTCATTTTAGCATACAACAATCTTTTTTTTTTTTACTTATTTATTTATTTATTTTATTATTGTGATTCGGGTGAAGATTTACAGAGCAAATTCACTTTCCATATAGCAGTTTACATATACTTTGTCTCATGACATTGACCACAGTTTACCACAATGCAACAGCTTCCCTCCCACTTCCTTCCCATAGTTATGTCTTCCCAGTGTCCATCCCTCCATGGACTCCTGCCCCCTAAGCTGTCTCCCCATGCATAGGCAGCCCTTCTTTCTCAATGATTGTTCTCTCCAAGGAGTGTATCGACCTCAGGTAAATGTTCAACTCATATGCCTGTCTTCTGTTTGACTGGAAACCACAGGTGTGGGTTCAATTCCAGACCTGAAGGGCAGCTAGGGGCCATAGTCTCAGTGGTTCCACCAGGCTCTATCAGACCAGCAAACCTGGTCTCCCCTCCCTCCCCCTTTTTTTTTTTTCTCTGAATGATTTTGAGTTTTGTTCCACATTGTTTTCCCTCTCTATCAAGGGTCTGCTACATAGATCCCCTTCCAAGTGGATGACAGTGGTAGCCGGGCACCATCTAGTTTTTAGCATCAAACAGTCTTATAAATTTAATCTTATAAAATATAATCCTGCTTTTTATGGCCTAAAAAACTGAAGTTCAGAGTAGCCAAATTCTTTAACTAAGGCTCCAGAGTGTTCATGAACTTGGGGTTTTAACCCAACATTCCTAACTCTACCTAATTCAGGTTTCTTAACTTAAGTTTTCTCAGGCTGAAATATATATAGGTGCTAGGGCCTCAGTGGTTGGTTTTTGCCTGGTAAGCTTCTATATTTCATATTTAACTTTCCAATAAAGCTCTTTGTGTGTGTGTGTGTGTGTGTGTGTGTGTGTGAGAGAGAGAGAGAGAGAGAGAGAGAGAGATAGTATGTGTGATATTCTTTCTTTTGAATATCTTTGAATACCCTTTCTGCTACAAATACCCAATTCACCTCTCTCCAATTTCATGCTTAATTCCTCTCCTGTATCAGTGAGTCTCTCTCTGGGACTATGAGACATTGGAGAGTTGCCAGCTAAATGCTGAATCAAGAAAATGGAGACAGGTTACCTCAGACTGAAACACATTTTACTTTTCTGGGTTAGATCTAATACCAAGGTTTATACCCTAAATTTGGTTGAGAAACTTAATCCAACAAAAGGAAATAATTGCATCTAGCAAGGTTATACATTTAATACCTATTGGCCCTGCCAGTCTGTACATATCATGGTTGCTATGTAACATGGTTGCTGTGTAATCATTAAAGGATCTCTTTGACATTAACTTCTCTTCTGCTTTTGAATTTGCCTTTTGGAACATGATAGGGAAAGCCCACTCCTAAGAAGAAGGATTGTTCTTGTTGTTATGTGCCGTCGAGTCAGACCCGACTCATAGCGACCCCTCCTTGGGTTTCCAAGGCAGTATCACTATGGAAGTAGATTGCCCCATCTTTCTTCCGAGGAGTGGCTGGTGGGTTTGAACCGCCAGCCTTCTGGTTAGCAGTCAAGTGCCTTAGGCACTATGCTACCAGAGATAGGAGAAGATCAAAGGCTACCTTGGAAATAGCCTAAGGAAGAAGAGTTCCAGAGCTTATTGCCTGCCTCCTTCTTTCACTTTCGCTTTGATATGAGAGCTTTACAGGGGGTTTCCACCCAGGCATGATCAGACAGATACTGTCAGCATTATTTGCTGTCTTCTATACAGCCAGAAGAAATTTTTTTTTTTCCCCCCTAAGACTTTCTTCAGGATGAAGAGAGAGTGCCACATTTCTTGGCATTCTGAAGAGCTACTGTGCATAGGAGAGCTAAACAGAGAGATAACTGGACATTAGGAGCAAGTCTTTCTATGTGACAACAAGTAACAAGCTTACCCACTCAGGACATACAGCTTGAGAAACTTTTAAATGCTTAGAAGAATGTGAAAGCAGGTGGCCTTGGCTTAAACTCAAGATTTCCTCTCTTTAATGCTTATTTTCTTTTAGGGCTTTGTGTTCTGTCCCATCAATCTTCCCTTAGCCAGTTTTCTATCCAGTCTCTTCTTTACCTAATTTTTCACTAGATTGGCTTTTTCCTCCACCCCCGCCCCATGTTCTCCCCTCACCCCTGGGCAGTGTTTCATTCTGTTGTACATAAAGTCACTGTGAGTCAGAGCTGACTCGACAGTACCTAACAACAACAACCCCCTCTACCATCACTGATCCTTGTGTGATCAAATTTGGTTTTGGTTGGGTTTCTGGAAACCATAACGTCATATATGTGAGTGCCGGGTCTGTGCAGTGCTGTAACAGTGTAGATCCAGAAGCACAGCATATGCCACGTGTCTGTCACTTTAATTAGGCTGAATAAGGAATCCATTAATGTGGGAGCCACACAGATTTGCAGTTTAAGTTTGGTCTGGTTTGAGAGTTTCCTGGGTTTTTGTATATCCTTGCCCTGTTCTCCTCCATTTTTATATCTTTTTCCTACATGTCAGGAAACCTTTGATCTGTTTGCTTGTAGGGCACATTACTTAGAAAAGATTGACCTTGTTTGAAAGGCAGAGTTCCCAAACTTTCTAGTGTATGTGAAACATGCTTATTGGGAAACCCAAAAATATAGTAGATAGCCATGTGTAAGCTGCTACAGACAGTAAAATTCTAAACCTTGAGCAAAAGTAGATGGAAAATTGTATAATATTTTGCTTTATAATTTCTAATATCTACTTTCACTTCTAGCTAGGGTGTTCTCCCATTCTTTGACAAGCTGAAATGTCACAACTCTCTCAACAAACATGATAAACTGTTGATACTAAAGAAGCATTACAATTATATTAACTGTTTTTATTTCCAAACATATTTCTAGGAAGAAAAGCTCACAACACACACACACACACACACAGACACCCCGCTGCATTGCTCAGAACTGATGCTCTACCTGCTGCTACAGTTAATTTGTCCTTCAAAGTTTGTCAGTTATAACATTAATGACCCCTAGCAAATCTTAGCAGTATTTATAGTTGTATCTTCGAAGCCTGAAGTTTTGTTATCAAGTGGAGAATAGGTATTTAAATTGAAAAGACACGCCTACATTAGGATATTCCAATTCCTTTTTTCTTTTAAATAAGGAAGACACAGAAAATATTTTTTTTTTGGTACTACTGTGCTAATCTAAGGTATGGTTTTCTCTGCCTCAGGGGCACAATATTGGGAGAGACAAGACCAAAGAATGCTATTTTTAGTTGAACAGTTCAGCAGATGGAGGCATGAATACCCATATATCTGAAGGTTGAGGGGCTTGAACCATTAATTTTGATAATGTATTTAACCCTGGGAACAATCAGAAACTTTAACTTTGAAGCTACAATGCTTTTGACCTTTAGAGAACAGAAGGAAATTGCTACAGTAAACAATATATTATATTACTACTTATTCCAGTTCTCTCACCCAGTATAAATTTCAGGTCCAGTTGCCATTTGCTTTCCTCGGCTATGTTAGCATTGGTCCTTCAAGTAAGTCAAAAAGAATGTTAAAGAAGGGGAGCCAGTATAATGAGGCAGTCATGTAAATATGGCCTTTACATAGCTAAGATGCTATATTGTTTCTGAATAAATATTGTCTCAAGAACTAAGCTCTTAGTGGCTTTTTTTTTTTTTAAAGAAAAAGTAGTTCCATTGTATTGATTCATTCTCTGTGGTTGATTTCAACATGATAGATGCTTAAAGTAATTTTGTTTTGTTTTGTTTTTAATTGGGAATAATGCTGCCTTATTGTTGTAGCTTATATTAAACACAATCTGTCACCATATCATGCGAAGTGATACACCTGTCTCATGCCTTCTTATTAAATGATGCATGCTTCTCTTCAGCAAATACAGCAGTTAAATATCACACAGCTTAAGAATTTCTAATTAAAATATCTCCACGTGTCAGCATATTGGTAATGCATTATTTTAATCCATTTATTTTGTTTATGAAACAGTGACATATGTTTAGATTGTGAAATATATGAGCCTTAAAAATCACTTTATTGAAGAAAATTAATTCCTACAATGCCGTCTCCGTAATGTGTTCACTCACCCAGTCAGTCACTGGCGGCACTGCCAGTCTTAATGTCGGTTAGACACACCAGTTTCATCTGCATAACAGTCTTGCAAAGAAGCAATCACAGTTCTTTTTCTTAGTTCCAGATGATAGGGCTTTTCTTTCTTTACTTTTTTCTTACTCATTAATTCAAACCTGTCCCCCTGAACACTTTTTGTTGTTTTTTAAAAAAAAATACAATGAAGGATGAAACTGAGTATGTGTATAAGGGATTCCGAAAGACCAATCAAAATTAAAAACAAGCTAGTTACCTTTTCAAAGTTAGATCTAGTAATTTGTTTGTCAGCAGGGAGATGTTTGGGTCAGCCCTGAGATAAAGTGACTGTCAGCAGTTATTCCTACAAGACAAGTAATTTCACTCAATGTATTACTGACAGATTGCTCACTTCTCTGAATCACCGGAGAAAACAAACTTAATATTGTTACAGGCAGAGTTTCTGTCTTCATTAGCCTCAGAGAATGATTTTTATCGTGCATTCAAAGCTCACCACACTTTAGTTGGAACATATTTTAACAGACTAGGTCTTACAATGATAGTATGGGTAGTAGCGTAAATGAAAGGAATTGTATATG